TTTGACATTGTTAGCAGTGTAAAATTACTAGATTAAAATCAAAATTTTCATTAAAACGATTTAAAATGCCAAGATTTACAGACATAGAACTGACATGTATTTTGTGTACGGGTTTTGCAATGGCGGTTCATTGGCAGCCGTAAGAGAATATCAAAGAAGATTTCCCAATCGCATAGTACCTGGACGTCGAATGTTTACTGATATTCACCGGAATTTGTCAAACCATGGAAGTTTTCAGCGCATGCAGGGCTCAGAAAGGCCACTGGGAAATCAGCATATGGATATTGCTTTAAATATGTTTGAAAATAATCCGCAAATAAGCATACGAAATGTTTCAGAAAATATGGATATACCTCGATCAATAGTAAGAAAAATTTATGAATACCTATTTGATAGTTATCCTAAAAATAATAATTTTAGATAGGAAGAATGACAAGAATGCAAGGATTACATCCTTATCATTTTAAACAGGTGCAGCATTTAACGGAGGCAGATTTTTTACCACGAATGGAGTTTTGCCAGTGGATATTAGCAAATGAAAACACTATTCCTACAATATTATGGTCGGATGAGTCAATATTTACTAGGAATGGTGCTTTCAATTTCCATAACATGCATCACTGATCAGATGAAAATCCAAAAGTTGTTCGCCGTACAAATTTCCAACATAGATTTTCATTGAACTTAGGGGCAGGATTAATTGGGGATCAAGTAATTGGGCCTATTGTACTTCCCAATCGTCTTAATTCACAGGTGTATCTGAACTTTCTTCAGAATGAGCTCATGGATATAATACCATTGGATGTGCGCCAGCAGTTTCAAGAAAATATGGTTTTTCAACATGATGGCGCCCCTGCACATTTTGGACGCAATGTTCGAAATTGGTTGAATGTCAATTTTCCAGACAGGTGGTTAGGCCGAGGAGGTCCTATAGCGTGGCCGCCACGTTCACCTGACCTAAATCCATTGGATTTCCATTTTTGGGGGTCATTAAGAGACCTAGTTTACACGACTGAAGTAAATACTCAAGAAGATTTACTTGAAAGAATCCATCAGGCTGCAAATGAAATAAGAAGAAAAAGGTTTTCCACTTTTCGGGCTACGCAATCATTAGTTCGTCGAGAGAGACTCTCTATCCAACAAAATGGGAATTTATTTGAGCACTGGTGTAAAGCTAGTTTTAGCTATATCCAACTGTATGTCTTCTTTTTTAAACAGATTTCAATTTCGTTCGTAGAAAAAATTTATTTCTTTTGTTTTTGCCTAAATGTTGGCTATGTTGCAATAGAAATATGTATTTATGTAATATTTACCAGTTATTAAATTAGTTTTTTCGTTGCCATGGCTAATTATTCAACAATACATTTAAATTCGCAGTACATTTCCTATCATGTGTCAAATTTTTTAGTTTAATTTTAGTCAAAAATGGCACAATTTATCGATATTCAATAGGAGTACCTTTTTTATGTAGAAAACCCTAAATTTTTAAATTCTAAAATTGTATTTCAAAAATAGAATCACACAAAGATGTTGGGGCTCAAATAACCTGAGTTCGTCCCTGTTACATACGCTTCCAAACAAAACTGTCTAAAATTGTTACTATTTTTAAAACCAGCATGAAAAACTAGGCTAGAATACCAAATTTTATGTCTTTATCTCAACACGTTTCGGAAATATTAAGGAAAAACCATATTCAGGGGAGACCCCTTAAAAGACCGTAGCGCCCTTAGGGGACGTTTGTCCACATATGTTTATACAAACTTTTCTACCTATTTTAAGCTCTAGAAACCGGTAGAATATTGCACACTTTTTTCGGGACACCCTGTATAATTCATTACCCAAATTGAATAAATGATATTCATTACCAGCTTTCCGACAAAAACGAAAGGATTATTACTTGAATGACTTTATTACACAATCATGCTTTTTTCCTTTCTAATAATTTCGTTTTTACTTTTCTGTTTTTTGGTGTGCTCTGCTTTGTGAAATATGTAAATAATATTTCATTATTAACATCTGCTAGTAACTTTGATGTAACAGTAGCAAACGCTAAATTTCGCCATCAAGTCTTACCTTAGCTGCATTACAATGATGTAAAAGAATTACTGCTATTATCATTATTGATATTAATATTTGAGACACTGGGATACCTCGGTGAAACTTTTCCGCAGTTGGATCTGACAAAAGATTGCTGAAATGCTAAACTTACCGATACATAAAATTTCTGACGCTAATTGTACCTGCAACAAAAGAAAAGCTTTTTAGTTGAATCTACCAAAGTTATAACTAGTTTTGAAGTTTTAATACATTTGTTACAGATCTGGCAGCGCATTCTAAAACCTCGATAAATCTATTGTGTACTGTTTTCGATACTTTCAATAGCACTACGTAAAAGAGCCTAATTATAAAATATTTTATGAACATCGGAGAAAAATGAAGCAATTACATTGTCCTCCAAAAGTACTTCCTCATATAATCGAGATGACATTGAATCAGGTTGCAAGAAAACAACATGCCAATGATAAACTTTCTTTTTTGATAGAAATAATGCCTATGAGAAACATTAAGTTAGGTATCGTCATAAAGTGCACTGTCGTCAGGATTAAGATGGTCACAACCACGAAAACGTATTGGGGATGAAGTAAATTCTTCTTACAAGTACTCTCTGCTTGCATGTTCCCTATAAGTACGCACTATACCCAAAACATCTCCATGGCTGCATAATGAGCTTAGGCTTTAAAAATCTCCAGACTGATATTAAACGTATTTGCAACATGTTAGGAGTAGGAAACCCTAGTCTAATGTCTCCCCTATTCAATAATTGTAATATAAACTGCATCTGAACCATACGCTTATTGAGGTAGATGCAGTATCACAGTGTGTCTAGTTCAATAAAAACAAGCTCTCGGACTATCTGGAGGTGAGGAAATACTCCCTTAGCCACCGTATAGTATCAGCATGTGGTATCGAAATTTGCTCTAAGCTTGGAGCTGCAATCTCAGCTGTAACCGATCCCCAGGCGTGCTCGTACCAGATTATCACCTCCCGCCATATTTCAATGGGTTGTTTCCACCCCAGATATTCCTAATGTCCTTTACAGTCACGAGGGGTTATACGTTATACATCGAAGCAAGAAGCATCGTTGATCGGATTCTTGGGCCGGAACCTACATCTAAGCTTCTACGCAAGCTTCATTTTTATGAATACAGTGGTAATATTTATGTGGAAAAAGTAGGACAAAAAAATAACAGAAAGATCATATGAACACTGGATCAAAAATGTATTCTTACCGACAAACAGCGTGATGCAGTTATAATTTCGAAATCTAGAATACGCTATGGGCTCAAAATTTTGTAGATGCAGTATTTATAGCATATGCTGAAGCCATGTGCCGTCATTTGAATGAATTAATAAATGATAACTAATTCAGGTATGGTGCCAGATAGTATTAAAATACAAACATGAAATGTCCTATCATTTTCACATTGTATACGAATTATTTATTTTGAAACTTCACTCACAGAAATGTAGCGGTTAAGTACTATCAATGATAAATTGTAGCTTTATGTTATACAATTATTATCAACGGATATGGTTTTCATTTTCAGCACAGTTAATTAGTTTTGCATAATGAACTACTTTACAGAAATGGTGGGTATGTTTTATAAAATGATATATAATAACAGTTCAATGCTAAATGTTACATCTAGATATGTTCGGTATGTTTATGGAAGTTTGTAGGATTCTTGAGTTTTCTAGACAGTGATCTTCACAGATTACTAGGGTATACAATGGACTGTGAAATATAGAATATCTGATGACCCTCTTAACGTCCGGCAATGCTGTCAAATAAATCCAACGCAATGCCTGCATCACAAAATGCTGCGTAGCATCATGCATTTACCACTCATTTTCAAATATGCCAATTTACCAAGTAGTCTGGGACTTCCAAGTTGTCAAAATAATTGGGTAAATAAATACAGTCAACAACAATAATTTGAGCCATTAGATAGGCGGTGTTTACTAGTAGTAAAGATTAATTATTAGCATTATAAAAAAATGGGTAGAGGGTTTAATAAGAATGACAAGTCCAGCAAACCAAAGAAGCTTTACATAAATACACACGTTCATTTTTTATTATCATTATTTTCGATTTCTTCACTTACGAAAACCTAACTAACCTTCAGGGTATAAAATAATATAGAGCGTAAAAAACGAATTACGTCAAGCTAGAAATTACGTCCAAGCTTTGGCGCGAGCTTTTACATTCCAACCTTAAATGACATCTTTTGCCATGTCTCGTTCATAGAAAAAGGTGAAACCTCTCAGAGTATGCTTTGTGGAAACAAAATATTGATATTCAGATGTAATAGAAATTACAAAAAAGCCTAATACAAAGCCCTAGTGTAACTTTGCAAAAGTGCTTCAAGTTGTGAATTTTATCATTATTTTCGATTTCTTCACATACGAACACCTAACTAACCTTCAGGGCATAAAATAATATAGAGCGTAAAAAACGAATTACGTCAAGCTAGAAATTACGTCCAAGCTTTGGCGCGAGCTATTACATTCCAACCTTAAATGACATCTTTTGCCATGTCTCGTTCATAGAAAAAGGTGAAACCTCTCAGAGTATGCTTTGTGGAAACAAAATATTGATATTCAGATGTAATAGAAATTATAAAAAACCTAATACAAAACCCTAGTGTGACTTTGCAAAAGTGCTTCAAATTGTGAATTTTATCATTATTTTCGATTTCTTCACATACGAAAACCTAACTAACCTTCAGGGCATAAAATAATATAGAGCGTAAAAAACGAATTACGTCAAGCTAGAAATTACGTCCACGCTTTGGCGCGAGCTTTTACATTCCAACCTTAAATGACATCTTTTGCCATGTCTCGTTCATAGAAAAAGGTGAAAACTCTCAGAGTATGCTTTGTGTGTGACTTTGCAAAAGTGCTTCAAGTTGTGAATTTTTGACATCTCTTTTTTTGCAGGTGGTCCCAAGGCCTGCTCTTCCACCAAGGTGCAGTGGACTGCGCCAGAGCAGCCCTATTACTGCCCTTAGGCGTCTCCATTTTGCACTGCCAACCTGTCCATCGCTGCTCACTGGTCGAAACGGCCTTTCTCCTGCTTGTCACCGTCGCAACTGTCAACATGCTCACCACCGTACTCAACGACTCTCCGGTCTTCCCTGATGATGAGGAAGAAGGTGAAAACGTCGCCACTGCAGAGCAAGCTCCTCTTCTCATGGATTCGCCGCAGTGCGTCTTGTTCGGGACTTTTATGATTTGGTTCGCCAGCATTACGATAAACTTAGGACCCACGTTCCTCTCGGGTAAGAGACATCAACAAAATAATCGTATCACTAATTCAATGTTATTTGTGAGAGCTTTGTAACATCTCGAGCCACAGGATTAAAAACAACAAATAAATGAATAGTTATTTATGTATTTTTGAATCTAGAACGTTAAGTGGGCGTTTATAGCCTGCGGCCGAAAATTAACACGTCAAGGGACACACACGATTGTGATTTCGAAAAAGATGCGTAATCCTCGACACGAAAAACTCCTGGAAATACACTGACGGTCTGTCCTGTCTGCTAACCCTTCACCGTCTATAACTTGGAAAGTACCGGTCGGACGAAAAAAAAAATAGAAAAAATATCGCCTAAACTTAGTTTTTTGGCGTTTCCGACGCTCCTGACCATTTCCAGACAAATGATTGTAGGGGTTAAAAATTAGGGGTTGTAGAGGTGGACAAGGGAATATCTCAATTTAACGTTAGCATATTTATACTCTTCCGACCCGGCAATTCTACGCACATATATTTAGGCAGCAGCGGTGGCCGCAGTAGTAGACTCTTCGGTCTCCTGATCAGTCGCCGTGCGCTGTGCGGGTTCGAGTCCCGTCCCAGGAGAAATTTTTCTCATGGATATGGATGTTGTGATTGTCCGTAGGTGGTAGATGGTCTCTGACTGTCGAACGCGGAGGTACCACCCGGCGGTTCTCGTAGGCGGAGCCAGAATGTGTGCATGTTGCAAGCACACGTGTTCCCTCGCCAGAGTCCGTGTGGCGTCCCCCCTTTTCCCATGTATCCCCCTATAGCCCCACGGTACCCAATGGGTGCTTAGGCCTTAGGCCTTCGTGGTAGTTGGAGTATAAAAAAAACACATATTACACACATTTCCGTACATTTGCGCTTAAATCTTGGAATGATAGAGAAATATTTTCATCAGCCGGGTCTGGGTGTACGTACGTCACGATCCGGCCGATGGGTGTTTTTTTGTGTTGCAGTTGGTAATGGTTGACATAGTGCCGTGGATGACGAGCGGCGAGGTTTGTCATAGTAACAACTTCCAAGGGTGCCCGCGGGAATTTTTCTCAACTGGAAGTGGGATAGTCATGGAAAAAAGATAACTTTTTGTGAAAGTTTAGCTGCCTCCAAAACTAAAGAGCGGGGGTAGCAAATTACTTTGAGGAGAGGCAGCACAAAATCATAGTAAATATGCAAATTTGCTGCTTCACTATTTGATTGACTTGAACCAATTATTTCTTTTGTACGTAGCCAAATTGTGCAGAATATAATAACTGACCACAGCATTACATGGGAAGTGCAGAGTGAACTTACTTGACGCTATTTTTTCAAACTTTTGGGAACTGGGTGCAGCACAAATCGATACTATCCATTTGGTACAGCCACTATATTTAATTCAGAGAATAATTTATCTTTTCAACCAAGTTAAAATATTATTTTTAATATACAGGGTATTAGGGAAATAATATTCGTAACTTTAAGAGGTGATTCCTTGCATTATTCTAAGCAAAAAAGTTCATTATAACTTGTGTCCGAAAATCAATCGTTTTCGAGGAAAGTCAGTCGTAAATAATTAAATTTTCTCAAACATTTGGCAACGCTGCAACGCAACCGCGATACGAGAGCACGACGACCCCAACTGATTCATCGAATTGTTCACGTTTGTATGATATTTTTGTTGAAAATATGCCTTGCATTATTGAATACTTTCACGCAATTTTTTGTGGCTAATGTAACGCTTTCAGTATAGTACATATACTTAAAAAAAATGACAGAACTTACCGGTACGTGGCGATACACACCACCAATTCCCACGATTATCAGTCACTTATTTGTAACGATGCGATGCACGAAAAAAGAAAAAAAACAACATCCGTAAATCACATAAGTTACAGTAAACTGTATTCGTAATCACAACAACAAGCGATGATACATGCAGTGCAGGCGGAGTACGACGTTGCCAGTTGTGTGAGGGATTTTGTTTGTCGGTTTTTCTTCGGAAAATTGTATTTAATAAACAAGAAAATTGTTTTATTAGAGACAGTTAATTAATAAATAGATGTATTGATACATTTTACGCTATTAGGCATATGAATTTAAATTATTAAGGTGCAAAATTAGTTCAGCATTTTTTTTTCCGAAACGGTTGATTTTCATACATAGTTTATAATGAACGTTTTTGCTTAAAATAATGCAAGAAATCACCTCTTAAAGTTACGAATATTATTTCCTACTATACTATATTAAATTCCGACAAAAATTTATTTTTTCAGCCAAGTTAAAATATTATTTTTGTGTCATCATTGTGTAGGTCGTTTAAAATACAATTTTGAGTGGCATCCTTGGGGGTACTTCATGTCCGAGACGAAGTTGTATTTTGAAAATCATCAGAAAAAGAGTCTAACAGTCCAACAGTCTATAGAATCACCACATGAATTCTTACCCAATTTTTTGAATACCCTGTATGCTGATGCCATCGAGTTTCAGGAGCGGCGGTGTCTAGAGCAAACAGAGTTGAAGTAGAAACCTGGGGAGTCAGTCTAGCTGGTCCGGAATCAACATCATGGTTAAGGCTTCACAAAAGCAAAAACAAGCAATTTGTATCATACTTATCGTATTTTTGGTGAAAAAGTATTAAAACTGAACAATTACTTCCAGGTGCCCTCGCAGCCCCAGGAGATGCCGTACACAGAGCACCCTCCTGCCCGCTGATCTACGGTCCCCTTCGTCACTACATCCTGAACGCACTCTGGATCTCAGTGAACTTAGTCTGCGTGTTCCTCACGCTCTTCCATTTGAGGAAACTGCACAGGGACCTGACCAAAGCCAACGTGGAGGCCGTGAGGATAGCGGGACTTGTCACCACCTTAGTCAACGTTACGGGAGCTGGAGGGGGGTGTAACCAAATGGACGGAGGGTTGGTCAATGGAGATAGAGTCAGAAATGTAAGTTGGACGGCAATTATTAGATTAAGAAACATCTGCTCATCCATATATATCATTCTAGTTGCATTGGTGGTACAGCGAGGTCAGTGTGGATTTCGAAAAGGCCACCGTAAGCCAAATGCCATCCCCGATCTTACTGATAATATAGTCAGAGCGTGGGATCACCATATAGTTTCACGATTAGTTCTCTCGAGCTTCACAAAGGCATTCGAAACAATGAATCACTCTCTTTTGATTTGCATTATAATTTCGACGATTCCCCACTGAGTTTAATACGCAGATTTCTAATAATTAGATCCCAAAAGGTCGACGTTGATTCAAAATTTTCAACAGAACGCCTGATTTCCTCAGAAGTACCTCAAGGATCAGTGCTTGGACCCCTACTCGTTATTTTGTATACAGCAGACATAAACAGTGTTGTGAGATTTTGTAGTATTCAATTTTTTGCTTAGACTCACAATTATATCACAGTTTCAATCATGAAAATTTAGAAATTTCGGAAGCACAAATGATAGAGGTCCTAAATTCTATAGAAAATTATGCAACAGAACATAATCTCCGGTTGAATCGCTCTAAATCTAAGGTTACTCTTTTTTCTCCTAAAAATCTAAGGTGATTTATTAAAAATAATATGAGCATTGAACGGTAATGCTATTCAGATATAAGAATCAATTAAAAACTTACGATTGTTCATAGATGAAAATCTAAAATTTATTTCTCATGTAAATAATGTAACTAAATTATTTCTTGTTTTACGGCATTTGTACTTAAATAAAGAAATACTCATTCACAAAAAAAATCTGAATCTTTAATAATATCAAAAATTACATATTGTGATTTAGTACGAGTATGCATCACTCCTAAATTCAATTTAAGCTAAACGTCTACAAAAAATTCAAAATTCATGTTGTAGATTGATTTTGAATTTAAGAAAATATGATCATATTTATTGTTCGTGTTTAGAACATCTCCCGAACATCGTCTCTGTCTGATACGCATACTGGAATACGTCATAATTCAAATAGAGAAGGTATGTTGTGTACTACAATTAGGAAAAAACAATTGTTTATAATGTGTCACAATATTTGCATTGCATTTGTGTTTATTTTTTTTTTAACTATGCGACTACTGCAGTTTCTTTGTCCTTCTCTTCAGTAATCTGTTCATGTTTTCCCCCTAAATTTCTAACAACTCCTGGTAAATGATTCCTTCCACCAGTCCATATTTTTTGCAACGCTACATTTAATCTTACGGTTTTTATGCGTTATACGTTACAGGTGCTGATCCTGTAGAAGTCGTAAGCACTGGTATGACACACCATTTAAAAAATTCAACCAAAACGCCCCAGAATTGCACAATATCAATTGACGTTAACTATATTTGCTTGGAAAATGTGCTGAAGTTTTTATATACATACATATAACGAGTTTTCCAATAAGGACGACAATTGAAAGAATCGTTGATATTTGGAAGTAAAAACAAAAAGCGATGGTTCAAGGTTGTTCTTTAAAATATGGCGGTTGCGCCACTTGATCATATACATATGCTCAAAGGTGGTACATTCACCATGTTTATAAATATAGTCAGACGAAAATACCCCTGGTTTGCAAAATAATTGTAAAGTCTGGTTTCATTGCTGCACGTTGGTCAAGGGGGTATTCAAAACATGGACGCATAAAATGGGTGCACCAATTTTTGTGGGAAAACTTTTTATTCGAAAACAAAGAATGAGAAAACGTGTTTTTTGGGATTCAATCGACAGTGTTGGCAGGAACGAAAAAAGACCTACAAAATGAGACCACACGTAAAAAGATCCAATAGCAAAAAAGTTATGGCGGAAAACCGAGGCAAACTGCAGGTTTTGGCACTTGTTAATAACGCAATGATGGTTTCTCGCAGATATTTGAAATTCTTCAAATTCGTAGGATTCGTACTTCTAAATAACCACAACAAAATTGGACTAGATTGGTCAAGTAGTTTTTGAGAATTTCTAATTGTTTATCCCAAAACACCTGTTTTCTTGCCATCACTACTAGTTTGTTGAGCAATATACAGGGTTAGTTCAAAGGGCATTTTATAGCATAATACACTAGTTTACCTTGCCAATATGAATCGCAAACCGTTCCGCAAGATAAATGTTATTTTTATACAAAAAGGATGGGTCGTCTTTTTCTTCTAAACAAACTCAAACATTTGGTACTTGTAAGTGATTCGCAACAAAAAAACGATATACACATCCGTTTTGTTTTAAAATGTGTATAGTATCGTATGTTTTCGAATATCGTAGCACATTAATGATCAATTACTCGCAAATACGAAATGTTTGAATTTTTTTAGATGAAAAAATCGTAACCTTTGTTTTTCTCATAAAAAATAACATTTATCTTTTTGAATGGTTTGTGATTTATATCGGCAAGGTAAACACGTGTATTTTGCTATTAAATGCTCTTTAAAACCCTGTATATCGCTTAATAAACTAATAGTGATGGCCGAAAAACAGGTGTTTTGGGATAAACAATTAGAAATTCTCAAAAAATTACTTGACCAATATACTCCAATGAAACCAGACTTTACAATTATTTCGGGGAAATTTGCAAATATGTTTAGACTAATAAACTAAAGGATGTTCCAATAAGGATAAGTCGACGTTCAAATAATAAATATAAATAAAACAAGTTGCGTGTGAAATATTAATCCTTCTACCGTTCCGTATTTTTTTTTTCAACGTTATAAGCCTTTTTAAATATTAACGAGAACGCCCCAGGATTGCGCAATGTTAAATGATGTTGCTCAACCGATTATCACTCAGAGCAGTAAAGTATATTAATCGATCGCAGTACTCAACAAGTTCTGAACAAGTACTAAACCGCTCATGCACTTGGAATTGATGCCGTATAATTTAAAAAGCGATTGGAACGAATTCGTGATTTCTACCGCGATGAAGTCTATTATATTTGCATGGAAAGTGGTCTGAAGTTTTTGTATGCATTCATATATAAAATTTTTCAATAACGACAAATCCTGAGCATTTCGAAGTAAATTAAAAGGCGACGGTATACCTGTATATTCAAGCCCTACAGCAAGTCTTTAAAATATGGTGGTTGCGCTACTTGAACATAATTGCTCGCATGTTGCGCATTCGCCATTTTTATAACGGAAGGAAATGTTTTTTCAGTACGGATGAGTCGACGTTCAAAACAAATAAAACAAGTTGTGTGTGAGATTACAATCGCATTCTTTTTTATTTATATGATCCGTGTATGAAAATTTGTACGAAAGATGACATAGATCAACTACCCGCCTTGGATTGGCACAGTGGTGGCACAGATTAAAGGGGCATAATTTTTAATGTCTACAGCATTGGCAAAGACCTTACTGGTTTGTACCACTTGCCATTGAGGATGATCGCGTCATCAACAATGTTTCCGAAAAAGTAAATATCGTAGAGTTTAAAATGGTAGGTCTCCAGTTTCAATGCCAGGCGATAGAAATCTGCCGGGCAGAGTGATAGTGTTGAAGATCTGGATCTAAGGGACATTGTCATGCCTAGATTTTAAAATCAATCACATTTTGGAATTGTCACTCGGAAGCGTACGATGGCGATTGTGCACATCAATGGAATTGCAGTTTTAGGAGAGCATTTGCTACTTTTGTTTTTTCACCACCGAAAGCCAACTAAATGCTCTGCTGACACTAAACTTTCAAGAAAGCCACTGCCAATGACAATCACAGCCCCAGGTGGAAGCCAACCACCAACTCGAGGGGTTGGAAGAGAGGAGCGTCAACCTCTCCATTTTTATACTTGAACCATCCAAGGTCTAAACATTCGAGGGTACCGTGGGGCTATGGGAGGATACATGGGAAAGGTGGAGACGTCACATGGACACTAGTGAGGGAATCACAACATCCATAACCAAGACAAAAAATCTCTTGGGACGCGATTCGAACCCGCGCAACTCACTGCGACTGTCAACAAGACACCACTACTCCACCGCGATACCTAATTGTTCTATTATATAGGGTGGGCCATCAGTTGGTTTTTTAAGTTGGTATTATTTTGACAGTTGGTAACACATCCATGCTCAACATATTGACAGATATATTGTGTCAAACTTCCGCTGTGAGCAATGGATTGTTTTAATTTTGAACAAAGGTGGGAAATATTGAAAAACTATTTTCAAAGTGAGTCCTGTGTTGCAGAAACTTTGCGAAAATTGAGAAGACTATTTGGTTGGCATGAAGCTCAAGAATGTCAACTGGTCACAGAGCACAACAAGTAGGCATCAGTCGCACTTCTGTGCGGAGAATATTGCATGGAATTATTTCCTTACAAGGTGCAACTTGTGCAAGAGTTGAAACAAAATGACCATCCGCTTGTGTCCTCTAAATCAATTGGAAACGAACGTCAATTTTGGTCGCCAAATCATATTTTCGGACGAAGCCCATTTCCATCTGGGAGGTTACGTTAACAAGCAGAACTGTATGATTTGGAATTCTGAAAATCCACATGTCGTCATAGAAAAACTAATGCATCCAAAAGGAGTAACTGTTTGGTGAGGCTTTTGGAGCGGTGGGATTACTGGTCCCTACTTTTTTCAAGATGAAAATGGTAACAGCGAGAGGGTAAACGGGGAACGCTATAGAGACGTGTTGAAGAGTTTTTTGTGGACACCATTAGACGACATGCACTTGCACAATCTCTGGTTCCAGCAGGATGGCGCAACATGCCACACCAGCCGTGAAACAATCGATCTTTTACACACTAAGTTCGGTCATCGCGTTATCAGCCGTTTTGGAGACGTTCATTGGCCAGCCCGCAGCTGTGATTTGACGCCCATGGATTACTTCCTATGGGGTAGTTAAGGACCGCTGTTAGACTAACGATCCTCACCCCCAAACAATTGGTGTTATTAAGGAAAATATCCGTCGAGTTATTGATGAAATAGATCCACAAACTATCGAAAATATGCTTCAAAATTGGGTTAAGATGATGGACTACT